TTTTGAGAGAGAGAGCATGAGCAGGAAGGGGCAGAGAAAGAGGGAGACAGAGAATCCCAAGCAGGCTCTGCACTGTTGGCACAGAACCTGATGTGGGGCTCGAACTCATGAACTGTAAGATCATGATCTGAGCTGAAATCAAGAGTTGGACACTTAACTGACTGAGCCACCAGGTGCCCCTGAGAGAGAGAGAGAGAGAGAGAGAGAGAGAGAGAGAGAGAATCTTAAGCAGGTTCCACATTCAGTGTAGAGCCCAACATAGGGCTCGATCCCACGACCCTGGGATCATGACCTGAGCCAAATTTAAGGGTCAGACGCTTAACCTACCGAGCCACCCAGACATCCCAAGAATGGTTCTTAAAGAAGACTCTTAAAGACAGTTCAGATGCCTTTTTATTTAAAGAAGTTTTTTTTGTTGTTATTTTGTTTTTTGTTTTTTTAGGTAGGCTCCATACCCAGTGTGATGCTTGAACTTACAACCCTGAGATCAAGAGTCTCATGCTCTACCAACTGAGCCAGCCAGGCACTCCTCAGATGCCTTTTTGAAACAAAGGTCAAACCAAGAAAAATAAAAATAAAAGGTTTTCTAGAAGTCCACAGAAAGACTTTACGTTCTTTCAAATGTTTTTATATATTTTATTGAATGCAGAATGTCAATGACAAAACTGTCACCGCTTCTGAGTTACTAAAACAGTGATATATGGACAGTTTGGAAAAGTCACCATACAAAGGAATCTTAAAATTTTTCATCTTGAACTTAGATTGTGGGCTACATGCAGAGATCATGACTGGTCTAAAAGAAGTGCTAACTAACTAGAACTCAGGTGATGTGATGCCAGGGTTTAGACGTACAAATTACTCTTGAAAAGCCCACATAAAACATACAGATTCACAGTCCAGGAGAGATGATGATGACTTTGACAAAGGTAGTGGTAATGGAGATGGTGAGGAGGAGTGGTAATGGAGAATGGGACAGAGAGGGACCACCGTGTGCATCTTACATTATTGTTGGCATTCTATCTTTGATTTGGGGAGATCGGTTTATAGGTACTTATTACATTACTTCAAATAGTAAATAAATACAATTTTAACAGGAAAAAAACAGACTATTTTATTTATTTATTATTTTTTTAAGAGAAAGAGAGCAGGGGAGGGGCAGAGAGAGAAAATCCCAAGCAGTCCACATGCTGTCAGTGCTGAGCCCAATGCGGGGCTCAGTCTCATGAACTGTGAGATCAGGACCTGCGGTGTGATCAAGAGTCAGACACTAAACTGAGTGAACCATCCAGGCAGACCCAAACATAGACTCTTTGAAACTCTTAATTTATTTCATATTTCTAAAAAGTAACTTCTGAAGTTTTATTTATTCTGAATTAATATAAACAAAATTAAACATGTATTGTAAGATCTCCATTCTTGTCTCTTCCCTTACCATGAAGCCGTAACTATTATAATCTTTCAAAACTCATCTCCTGTTGATTGTCTCCTTTTGAGCTACTATTCACTTTGGAGTGTCTTATTTATTTATTTATCTATTTATTTATAAATAATTTTTTCAAGTTTATTTATTTATTTTGAGAGAGAGACAAAGAGAGGGAGTAGGGGAAGGGGAAGGGCAGAAAGCAAGGGAGAGAGAATCCTAAGCAGGTTCCGTACTGTCAGCACAGAGCCTGACATGGGGCTTGAACCCACAAACCGTGAGCTCATGACCTGAGCCAAAACCAATAGTTGGATGATCAACCGACTGTGCCACCCAGGTGCCTCGTATGTATGTATGTATGTATGTATGTATGTATGTATTTATGTATTTATTTATAAAAGATTTTATTTTATTTTTTTATAACTTTTTTTAATGTCAGTTTTTGAGACAGAGAGAGACAGAGTGGGGAAGGGGAAGAGAGAGAGGGAGACACAGAATCTGAAGCAGGCTCTAGGCTCTGAGCTGTAAGCACAGAGCCCAATGTACAGCTCTAACTCATGAACTGCGAGATCATGACCTGAACTGAAGTCAGTCACTTAATGAACTGAGCCACGCAGGTGCCCCTAAAGATTTTATTTCATTTTATTTATTTATTTTTAGAGACAGAGAGAGAGTACAAGTGGAGGAGGGCCAGAGGAAGAGGGAGAGAGAATCCCAAGTAGGCTCCACAGTCAGCATGGAGCCGATATGGGGCCTGAACTCACGAACTGTGAGATCATGACCTGAGCAGAAACCAGGAGTTGGACGCTTAACCGACTGAGCCACCCAGGCGCCCCCCTAAAGATTTTATTTTTAAATAATCTCTACACCCAATGTGGGGCTCAAACTTGCAACCCTGAGATCAAAAATCACATGTTCTACCGACTGAGCCAGCCAGGCACCTGTTTCATTTTTCAAATGACAGTCATTGGACGCCTGGGTGGCTCAGTCGGTTAAGTGTCCGATTCTTGATCTCAGCTCAGGTCATGATCTCATGGTTTGTGAGATGGAGCCCCAAGTGAGGCTCTGCGCTGACAGTGTGGAGCCTGTTTGGGATTCTCTCTCTCCCATTCTCTCTGCCCCTTCCCTGCTCACGTTCTTTCTCTCTCTCCCAAAATAAATTAGTAAACTTAAAAAAAAGATTAAAATGATAATCATAAACTGCAACATATTCAGCAAAGAACATTACAATTATATGAGGTCTGCAAATATGCTATGAGGAGTGTTTGAAGACCTAAGATGTATCACTTGGAGAAAAGAAGACCTGTCAGGCAGCATGACAGCTATGTGTGCAGTGGTAGGGACTGTCACTTAGAACAGGCCTACTCCATGTGGCTAGAGTGAACCAGAACCAACAGGAAGTATTAGAAGCAAATATTTCTACTTAGTGTGAGGAACACTTTCCTCACAGCTCTCACTGTCCAGCAATGTTATGAGCTGCCTGAAAAAGTGGTGAGCTCCTCACTACTGGACAAAGCCTGGAAAACTAGCCATCAAGGATGTTTTTAAGGCTATGGGCCAGGACTGGTTGGCTGGTCCACCTCTGAAATTGCTGAGGTCCCATGAAGTTATCACAATCAACCCAAATCCAGCCTGTATTCTCCAATCTTCCTTAATATGTCTATGTAATTTTATATAACTATCTTAGTCTCACATATTTAGATTTTTTTCTAAACGTTTTCCTCCCTTGCTCTGATTTTAAGTTTGAGAGTTAGAATGATCTTCTAAGGCTTTGGCATCTCTCTCACCTAACACACGTCCATATACATGTGTGCACAGACAGGCATACCCTAAGACCAAGGCCATCTACCTTTACTTATTATTTACTATTTGCGCTCCTCCATCTCTAAATTCATTCTGCTAGTCCTGTGTTTTAATGATGTGATTATTCCTTTATTTCATTTAAATCTCTACTTTCTTGTGGCCTAATGCACGCTGGACTGAAGCCTAATTACTTTTCCTATCAAAACAGAACAGAACTACCATTTGCAACAACATGGATAGAGCCAGAGAGTATAATGATAGGTGAAATAAGTCAGTCAGAGAAAGACAAGTATCATACGATTTCACTCTAATGTGGAATTTAAGAAACAAAACAAAGGAAAAGAAGAGACAGAGAGAGAGAGAAAAATCAAGAAACAGACTCAGACTCTTAACTACAGAGAACAAACTGATGGTTACCAGAGGGGAGGAGAGTCGGGGGATTGGTGAAATATGTGATGGGGATTAAGGAATGCACTTGTAGTGATGAACACCAGATGATGTATGGGATTATGGAATCACTATATCGTATACCTGAAACTAATATAACACTGAATGCTAACTATATTGGAATTAAAACAAAAACTTAAGTCAAAAAAACCAGAATAGAACTACAACACAATTACTTTAATTCTTCTACTTTCAGCAATAGCTAAGTTGGGCGACCAATACTTACCATCAAACTGATAGTGCATGGTTTGATGGATGCGTTCCGTGACACTGGCCAGCCAGTCTTGGAAGGACAGGGTCACTTGAGCCTCATCTAACAGCTGACCACAGGCTAGGAAAAACAAACAAAAAACTTTTCAGTAATTTTTATGGGTTTTTTTTCAAAAACAACAGTTAACTGAAGTCTGAAAAAGCTGCGGATTTTGTACAGAAAAGAGCAACAAGCTGAAATTTAAAGAAATTGGATACATTAAATGAAATGGAAAATTCTAGGATTTTTTTTTTTTTTAAATCCATCTAGAGGGGTGCTGGGTTGCTCAGCTGGTTGAGCGTCTGACTCTTGGTTTGGGCTCAGGTCATGATCTCATGGTTTGTGAGTTCAAGCCTAGCACCGAGCTCTGTGCTGACTGTACAGTGCCTGCTTGGATTCTCTCTCTGCCTCCCCCCCTGCTCACTTTCTCTCTCAAAATAAATAAATAAACTTAAAAAAAAAAAAAAAGAATCCATCTAGAAAAAAATTGAAAAGTTGTGATTATTAACCATAGAAGGTTTGCAGCCTTTCAACATTAAACTGCAAATTGGAGGAGAGCCTCGCTGGCTCAGTCAGTGGAGCATGTGACTCTTGACCTTGGGGTCATGAGTTCTATCTTTACATTGGGTGCAGAGATTACTTAAAAATAAAATCTTTGAAAAAAAGAAACTGCAAACTTAAGAATGGCCTTGTATAACGGTTGCTTTAGAGATCTATAAATCAGGAGATAAGGATGCCACAACTACTATTCATTTGAAACTAAAATTCTCATTAGGTAAATGTATTTAGTGATAATTTGGATGAAAATCTATTTTATTTTATTTTATTTTATTTTATTTTTCCTTTGTACCAAAGGAAGTGATGGAAATCTGTTAAAAATCTTCTACCTGATATTTTTGATTTGTTTACTTCTTGAGCTTCCAAAAACATTTATTCCTGGAATATGTCAGTTCTTAGCTAATTGGTTAATTAAGATTTGGTTTTGTATTATATGCTATTTATGTACTGATCTTGTCTTTAAAACCACAGTATGAGTGCAGGGATGATATCTAGTTTTTAATCACTCAGCCATAATATATGAGAGTTAAGAAAATGTTGATCCCCAAATGTATGGGCCTAATTATGCTGAATAGAAAAGTAAATATATAGGCTATGTTCAAATTAAGTTATTTTGTCTCATAAGTTCAGAAAGATAACCATGCTACTGCTTTTAGGTATGTTTTCAAACTTCGTTTTTTTTTTAACGCATGTTGACTTTTGATTGATTGATTGATTAAGTAATCTCTATGCCCAACATGGGGCTTGTACTCACAACCCTGAGATCAAGAGTCACATGATCTACTGGCTGAGCCAGCCAGGTGCCCCAAACTTCAACTTGGGAGAACAGATTATATTTGCCTTTCTCAATGAATATTTATCCCTGCAGAATTATAAAATATATTTCTTCAAGTTTGAGGCTCCACACCAACTGCATGTGGGTAACAGGCAACAAAAGGAAAATATCTTATAGAACATGTACTGCCAAAACATGAAGGAATCTTTGCTGCGTTTGTCGTTAAAAAGACACAATTTGGGTCTGGGTATGATTTGAAACCAGTGGAACAGAATAGATCGCAGCCTCAGTGCCTGCTCGTGTTTATCTTACCACTCTTTGGGGGATAACATGCAACATTTCTTTTGATTATATTGCTTTGGGCTTCTTCAGGATGATTTTCCACCTCTTTAGCCTACCCTGGCTAAGGGAAACTTACCCTGCCTTTTTAATGAAGAAGCAACCACAGGTTTTTTCAGGCCACTTTTCCTTAGATTACTGCTCACTGCATCCTGAGGCAGCAGTGAACTGTTCGTCTGTGCACCTAAACCACACATCATTATAGTGATTTAATAATTTAATAATATGTCTGCAGAATATAAATCAATTCAATATTAATTTCTCAAGAGTCTAAAACATAAAATGTCTTTGCTAAGGTCTAAGTTAGCTTCAGCTTCTAGAAGGAATTAACATTAGCATTAATACATAACATTTTAAGTTTTATATGCTCTTTACTGGAAATTGGGATGTGGGTGTGGGACCTAGAAGTGAAAAGAAGAAAAAAAATTCACCCACTGTTCCCACTTCTCAATCACTATCAATTTTCTGGTGAACTACCAGAAAACTTGTGTGTGTGTGTAGCTGATTTTGCTGGTTTAGTGATTTTAAGTAACTGTGATTATCCCAGGATCACCAAATTTAGCAAAAAAAAAAAAAAAAATCTAAATTTCAAATAAATGGCTTTTTAATATAGGTATGTTCCAAATATTGCATGGGACATACTTATACTAAAAATTATTGTTTGTATGAAAATCAAATTTTACTGAGCATTCTGTATTTTACCTGAGTTATCTAAACATTTCTTTATACTTCTTTATAATAATTTTCAATGGCTGCCTAATATTCTATCAAGTTAATTTATTATGGTTTATTTAACTACCCCTAGTGGTTGGCCCTTATTTGTTTTTAATTTTTCAATATTATAAATAATTGTAAAGTTAACATCTGTGGACAAAATGTTTTTCCTGTATCAAGGATTATTTCCTCAGAATCAGGACTACTGAGTCAAAGGATAAGAACTTTTTTTTTTTTTTTTTTGCTTTCAGGTTTTCTTGGGAAAGACCAATAAATAAACATTTAACAACAGTCTCTGCTCTATATTGCTGCCAGAATTACTTCTCAAAAACAGAAATGCCCATGTCACTTTTTTCTCCATCTTTCTCCAACATCCCAGCATCAAAACTCCTGTGCATGACCATTTGACCCACTTCCAAAAATACTCCCTCTCACCACAAAAATGTTCCTACTTACATGTGTAGACTGGTAGTATTTTTCTTTTGTTTAGAGTCTAGGACTTGCAACACTTATTTACAAAAGCACTTCACTATTTTCATATTGATTTATATGACTCCTTAATTGCCACTGGTACATTTACATTAAAAAAGAAAATATATATATATGATGCCACATATTGAAAATACAGATAAGAAACTATACTCTTAAATTAGTGCAGAAGATATAATTAACCATTGTCACAAATTTTTAAAAATGCTCTATGGATGAAAACTTCATAACACTATCCTATGGCAAATTAAGGTGTAAAACTGGCCCAAATATTTAAGGGATAAATAAAATATACAATAATAAAAGGAGAATCTGGTTGGATCTTATACTCAGCCAAAAGAACCAACTCTTAGCTCAATTTCACAAAGAATTATCAATGAGGGATAAAACTTTTTTCAGAAAAAAAACATAACAAACATTATTTCTGCATTTGCTAAGATTGAGTGAAATACATAAAATACAGTAAAACAATCTCTAAGGACAACACCACCAAACAAATGAAACAGCTGCTCACCAGGTACTTCCTCTTTTTTCCTCTTCTTTGGCTTAGAGGCAGTAGACTCACAAGCTGATACTGTCGATTCTGAATGGCAACCTAACTGGGGCACAATAACCTCTTTAAGACCTAAAATATAACACATTTCTTAGTTATTAATACCATCCAAGAGTAAGTATGGGACCCTACCTAGAGAAAAATTAATTTATAAAACACAAATTATGGAGTGATTGCCTGCTTTAAAATAAATTCCTATTTATTTATTTATTTATTTATTTATTTATTTATTTAGAGAGCACACGCATGAGCAGGGGAGGGGCATAGGGAGAGGGAGAGAATCTTAAGCAGGCTCCATGCTCAGCATTGAGGCCAACTTGGAGCTCAATCTCATGACCATGAGATCACAGCCTGAGCTGAAATCAAGAGTCGTTGGATGCACAATTGACTGAGCCACCCACCCCTAACATAATTCCCTTTATTTATTTATTTTTTTTAAAAATTTTTTTAACGTTTATTTATTTTTGAGAC